TGCAGCAGGAGCTTGTCCTGTGTGCAGGTGGAACTCACCTGGTGTGATCTTCACCATCTAAAAAAGGGTGTTTGGGGGGTTTTTCCTCAATTCTGACATTCTGGTTCCACTGGGGGTGAATCTCTTTTTTTATTCCTGATCTGGGCTGTTCTGTGCCAGCTAGAACTGCCTGAGGTTTAGGTCACATTGACCTCAAGGCAAAATCTCCCTGAGTCAGGGAATTCTTCATGGATTGCACTTAACATCTTCCCTTTCATAGAAATTGGGGGGGTTTATCCTCAGTTTTGTGGTTCTGGTTCCACTGGGGGTGAATCTCTTTTTTATTCCTGCTCTGGGCTGTTCTCCCCCAGGAAGAGCTGCCTGAGCTTAGGTCACACTGACCCCTGTGTCAGGGAATTCCTCATGGATTGCACTTAACATCTCCCCTTTCATGGGAAATGGGGGGTTTATCCTCAATTTGGAGCTTCTGAGGTTTATCATCAATTCTGAGGGGGGTGAATCTCCTTTTTATTCCTGCTCTGGTTTGTTCTCCCCCAGGAAAAGCTGCCTGAGCTTGGACCTTCAGGTCACACTGACCTCGAGGCAAAATCTCCCTGTGTCAGGGAATTCCTCCCCTTTCATGGGAATTGGGGGGTGATTTATCCTCAATTCTGACATTCTGGTTCCACTGGGGGTGAATCTCTTTTTTTATTCCTGATCTGGGTTTTTCTCCCCGAGGAAGAGCTGCCTGAGCTTAGGTCACACTGACCTCAAGGCAAAATCTCCCTGTGTCAGGGAATTCCTCCTCTTGAATTGCATTTAACATCTCCCCTTTCACAGAAATTGTGGGGGTTTATCCTCAGTTCTGACATTCTGGTTCCACTGGGGGTGAATCTCCTTTTTATTCCTGATCTGGGTTGTTCTCTGCCAGCTAGAACTGCCTGAGGTTCAGGTCACATTGACCTCGAGGCAAAAGCTCCCTGAGTCAGGGAATTCCTCCCCTTTCATGGTAATTGGGGGGTGGGTTTAGCATCAGTTTTGAGGTCCTGGTTCCACTGGGGGTGAATCTCTTTTTTTATTCCTGTTCTGGGCTGTTCTCTGCCAGCTAGAACTGCCTGAGGTTCAGGTCACACTGACCTCAAGGCAAAATCTCCCTGAGTCAGGGAATTCCTCATGGATTGCACTTAACATCTTCCCTTTCACAGGAATTGTGGGGGTTTATCCTCAGTTTTGAGGTCCTGGTTCCACTGAGGGTGAATCTCCTTTTTTATTCCTGTTCTGGGTTGTTCTCCCCCAGGAAGAGCTGCCTGAGCTTCAGGTCACACTGACCCCTGTGTCAGGGAATTCCTCCTCTTGGATTGCACTTAACATCTCCCCTTTCACAGGAATCGAGGGCGT